CTTCTGCGACTTCTCTGTTTTCAGTTTTCAGCCATTGCCATTGGAGCTTGACTTCTACGAAGGAGACGCCCGCCACCATCTTCTCCGATTGCCCGCCACCGTCTTGTCCGACTGTCCGCCACCGTTTTCTCCGACGAAGATGAGAACCACCAACGGCAACGAGAACCTCCGGCTGACCCACGGCGACAACCAAAAGCCCAGAACCCATCTCCGCCCAGGATTTCCTCCTCCGCTGCACAATTTCCTCCTCCACCACCGATGCGAGATCTTCTTCTTCTCTTCCGACGAGCCTCCTCCGATCTTGACCGCCTCCTCTGATCTTCCTCCGATCTGCAGTTTTCAATTCTTGACCGCCTTCGTGACCGGAATCGTGACAGTCCGATCCGGAGTCACCAGAAAAAAGACCCCCAGCCACCGTTTTCCACCGATGCATGTTTCTTGTTTTACTCTGGTTTTTGGTTTTGTTCATATGTATATAATGTTTATTTAATATATTTAATATTATTACATATTTTTAAAAATTAAACCACCAAACACAATTTTAGTTTTTTTTAAATTGAAAATAATCTCAGAATAAAACTACAAAACGTATTTTTAGAAATGATTCAAAAATAAAAATAAAAATGTTTTCGTTTTCATTTTCATACAAAAAATAAAAATATTTTAGAACCAATTTCAAACACACCCAATATGTTTCCCCATTAACAGACTTTCGGAGCGCTTTCCACTGTTGAGTAGAAAAGCCATTTGTTTGTTTTCTTTTCTTCCCCGCCTCCCCACCCAAATGAATCTTAAAAAATGTACGGCATTGAAGATATCTATAGGTAATCAGAATTTAAGCCTGATCATTAAAAGTTGTTCTTGACCGGGCTAGCGTATGAAAACTGAAAAGAAAAGGGTTGAAGAACTATAAATATAGAGACCCCATTTGCACAAAACAAGCTTAAGCTGTGTACCACCAAAAGCTTAAAAATGAAAGCAAAAAAACATAACATAAAAAAACATTTATTTATCCTATGTTAACTTAATAATAAGCTGCTCATTTTCTTCTTCTTCTTTTAAAAAAAAAAAAAAATTAATAATCGCCTATGCCCAAGCAACAAATTAACTTCTCTAATAAGCAATTTGTTTGTCCATAAAAAATAATCGCCATAAAATGATAAATAAAATTGGAACAACGATTCTTTTCTTTCATTGATATTATATTCCTGTTTGGCGGTTGTTAAAGGGAAGAAAAAAAAAAGGTGGTGGTTGGCTTGTTCCTTCACAATTCATAAATAAAGTGAGATTATTTGATAACTTCAACTTGGTTTTTCTTCTTCCATCAAAGAACTTGTTTTCTTTATTCTAATTTTTTTTGCTAATCTGTTTTCTTTATTCTAATTTTTTTTTGCTAATCTGTTTTCTTTATTCTAATTAGAGATGGGATGTGGAGGATTCTAATTACAGGGTTTTTTTTTTTCTCTTCTGTTGAAGAAATCGAAGAGTTAATATATTATAGAGGTGTTTTTTCTGAAAGTGAAAATTCTGATATTAATTAAGAGGTAAATGCTTCGAAAATGATTTGGATTTATTGATTTACCTCGTATAATCAATTTTAAGGAGGGACGGAATTTAATTGTGAAAGCCTCATATTTTTCCAATTATTGCTCCAATTAACAGTAGCAAATATGCATTCAAGTACAAAAACGACGCCGTCTTTAGCCTTGAGGCCTCTTAGAAACCCCGGCAAAGCGAGAAAAACTGAAAAAGTATATAAATCTTCAGGATTTCAGCTCCACATTTGTCTTCTGAACTCCAAGCTCTCTTCCTTCCTTCGTATGGATTCTCCACCGCTCATTCTTCTCCGCCATTAATCTTGACCTTCGTCTTTCCCAAACCAAAACCCTAATTCCTCATTCCTCGCCATCCTTCGAGGCTCAGAACATTTATCTCACTTGATCACGGAGACCGCCGTAGAACAAATGGCTCTCGTCTCAATTCTGGGCCTATTGATCGGATAATCGCCGAGTTGTAACCCTAATTCCGATCACTCACAATGTCGTGGGGATTGGGCTGGAAAAGGCCATCGGAGGTCTTCCATCTAACGTTGAACTACGGTTCCGATGAGCCGGCGGAGAATCCCGGGCGTATATCGTCAGCTTCTAATTCGTCGGCGTCGTCATCGTCGTCGTCGATACTGTCGCAAGATCAGGAATTGGGGTTTCGGATCGATCTGGACTGGTCGGCCGGCGACGATGAGGATCAGGTCGCGCTGAGGCTCCAGTCGCAGCTTATGGTGGCGCTGCCGATGCCGCAGGACACGGTGGTCGTTGAGTTGACGAGCGGTGAGGAGGAAAGGAATGTAGGTGTGGAGATGAAGGTGGTGAAGAGGAGAGAGCCGTTGAGGGCGGTGACCTTGAACAAGACGGCCGGCTCGGGTCAGCAGAGCGATGGCACTGGGGTTTTGACGCGATTGTTGCGCTTGGATTTCGCTTCACAAATGCCGGGTGTTGCCGATGGTGTGTCGGCTTTTGGGGGGAAGAGCGTCACTATGCTCAGTCTTTGTGGTTGTGGCTTGTCGGTGAGTCTTCCGTTTGTTATTCGTTTCAGATATAATTTTTCTTTTTCTTTTTACTATTACGTGATTATGATTCTTCGTCTTGATTGCATTGGTCGATTTTTCTTCCCTTGAACAAATTTATTATGTGTTTGAATTCTGAGAAATTTTTTGGAGACGCATGATACTTTTAGTTTTGGGATTTTGAAGCTTTCAAAGTATAATGGCCTGTGCAGAACTGAGCCTGATTCAATTATTTGGATTAGTTCTCAGTTTCCGGCAAGAACCAGAACTTTCTCTCGTTTGTCCTTTTCTTAAAAGAATTCTGGGTAATGTATTTCAGACTTTTTCTTCCTCTTCTGTTCCATAATAATGAGCAAAGTCCCCTTCTTTTACGTATTTTTTTCTTCCCTTCCTTCTCGTGAATTTGTAGCCTGCATTTGCTGACTTGTACAAGTGGGAAAATGTATTCACTTCTTCTAGATCCTAGTTGTGGCTCCTTATTAATAACTAGACGCCTTTTCTTCATTATCGGGAGCAATACAATTGAAGAAAACAAACAACACACACAAAAGATTTATAGTGGTTCAACATCAATGTGAGAGTTACATCAACTTTAAGTCTTCATAGAAATTTTCTATTATGGAAAAGAAGAGTATAATACAAATCAACACCTCCAATATAAGTAAAACTTGGACAACATGAAATACATGAGTAAAGGTTGATCCACTTGCTATGTCTGTCTGGACAATAATTATGCTCCACACACTCCACAATCCGCACTCCATTCTACATTATATATTTATAGGTTTTGGATGAATATTTTAGTTCTTGAATACCAGCATGGACCATAGAAATGGTTTTTAGCATTTTTATTTGGAAGTTTTAACTATTGTCTATATGAATAGTATTACTTAATTCCACCATCATTTCAGCTGCATCTTTACTTAGATTAGAATTTAGAACCAAGTATTAAAGATACGATCAGGGCAAGCATTTAGTCTGGTGGATTTTTTTTTGTGATTGAATACTTACTTGCAGGTATTTCCGGTTGAGATTACTCGCTTGCCACTTCTTGAGAAGCTATACCTTGATAACAATAAGCTATCACATTTGCCATCTGAGCTTGGTGAATTGAAAAGTTTAAAAGTGCTCAGGGTTGACTACAACATGTTGGTTTCAGTACCGGGTAAGCATGAAGTCACTTTTTCACTGAAATGGTATTTTCTCCGAACTAGTCAAACTAATTCTTTGAAAGCGAGGGCTTGGAGTTAAATTGCCTCTTGTAGTTATCTCTTTGTTTTGGCTGGAATCATGCAGTAGAACTGAGACAGTGTGTCGGTTTGGTGGAATTGTCCCTGGAACACAACAAGCTTGTTAGGCCTCTCCTAGATTTCAGGTCATTTTATCCATGATTCAACATATTATTTATTTGTTGTACGTTGTCCACCTTTCATTTTGAGTAAGGTTGTGAAGTCTATAATCTCTGCGCGTCAATGGTTCTCTACTGTTTTGTGGCAGGGCTATGGCCGAGTTACGGGTTCTTAGGCTATTTGGTAATCCTCTTGAATTCCTTCCTGAAATCTTGCCGCTTCATAAACTTCGGCATTTGTCTCTTGCAAACGTCAGAATTGTGGCAGATGATAATCTTAGATCAGTGAATGTGCAGATAGAGGTAGTAATAAAATACAATGGCAGTGATAATGTTGAAGTTTAAATTCAAGTACAGATGTTAGCTTTTAAAGTCAATCTTTTATGGTAATGCAGATGGAAAACGTTTCTTATTTTGTTGCATCTAGACATAAGCTAAGTGCTTTCTTCTCTCTTATATTCCGTTCTTCCTCTTGTCATCACCCTTTGCTGGCATCCACACTTGCAAAGACAATGCAGGACCAAGGAAACCGTGTAGTTGTTGGTAAAGATGAGAATGCAGTGCGGCAGCTTATAAGTATGATAACTAGTGATGACCAACATGTGGTATGCTGGTAGTTCTTGATGTCATTAGTAAGTTATTTCTGGTTTTTTTATTTTTCTTCAAGGTACAGTCTTAAAATCTCTTGCTTATGGCAGGTTGAACAAGCATGTTCTGCTCTTTCATCTCTTGCTGCAGATGTATCTGTTGCGATGCAGTTGATGAAATCTGACATCATGCAACCCATTGAAACAGTACTTAAATCAGTTTCTAGGGAGGAAGTAATTTCTGTATTGCATGTTGTGGTGAAGCTAGCTTTTGCATCTGATAGTGTAGCTCAAAAAATGTTGACCAAGGAATTATTGAAGTCATTGAAAATGTTATGTGCCCACAAAAATCCAGAGGCAAGATCTCTACTTCCTCATCATACTGCACTGATTTAATCACTTTCATGGTGGCATTATTTAATAATTTAGGTCTATTTATTTATCATTAGGTACAAAGATTAGCTTTGTTAGCTGTTGGAAATCTGGCCTTCTCTTTTGAGAATCGCCGCCTTCTTGTCACTTCTGAAAGTTTGCGGGAACTTCTCTTGCGCTTGACAGTCGTGCCTGAGCCGCGTGTGAATAAAGCTGCAGCTCGTGCTTTAGCAATTCTTGGTTTGTCTTCTAGTCCTAATTTATTTTTGTTGTTTTTCATTATTAGTGTTAGAATTTACGTAAATGTCATGAATTTTTAGGGGAGAATGAAAATCTACGGCGTGCTATAAGAGGGAGACAGGTGCCAAAGCAAGGACTGCGCATGCTCGCAATGGATGGTGGTGGCATGAAAGGTCTGGCAACTGTTCAGATACTTAAAGAAATAGAAAAAGGCACTGGAAAACGGATACACGAGTTGTTCGACCTTATATGTGGCACATCAACGGGTGGCATGCTAGCTGTTGCCCTTGGCATCAAGCTTATGACGTTAGATCAATGTGAGGAAATATACAAAAATCTTGGTAAGTATAGGGTATTGGAATGAGCATAAATGCTTTTATTTTTTGTTTTCAATTTTCTTTTAATATTATTATTATTTATTTATTTATTTATTTTTTGTAGTCCAGCACTCCAACTTAATTTTCTCTCATTGAATCATGGTTCTTAGGAAAACTTGTTTTTGCTGAACCTGTGCCAAAGGATAATGAAGCTGCCACTTGGAGAGAGAAGTTGGATCAGCTTTACAAAAGCTCGTCACAGAGTTTTAGGGTTGTTGTACATGGATCTAAAGTACGTACCGTGATTCTTTATTTTGATTTATTTCTGTTAAGTCATTACACACTTCCTTTTTTTTTTTTTTTTTTTCTCTTCCTTCCTGATTTTAGCTTTGGATTTTGGATTTTGTTAAATATAATTATGAGAGTACAAGTGCATTATTGGAATTCACTTTTCTCTAAAGAAACTTTTTCTTTCTCAAGATTTTTCATTATTTTTTAAAATAAAAGGAGTATGTTGTCCTCTCTCCCGCCGTGATTTGTGTAAGTTTCTTGTTTTAGCCAATTCTATAAGGTACAATCTAAAATTTTTTTGGGGTGAAAGCAAGCAAAGTCATTGGTTGAACAGTGATGCTGTTCAATTATGATTTTATTTTTCATCATTGTTTCTATCACGTGAAAGAGCGCTATAACACATTGTATTGCAGCACAGTGCCGATCAATTTGAGAGGTTGTTGAAGGAAATGTGTGCTGACGAGGATGGAGACCTGTTAATAGAATCTGCAGTGAAAAATGTTCCCAAGGTTTTTACTGTATCAACTTTGGTGAGCGTGATGCCAGCGCAGCCATTTGTATTCCGCAATTATCAGGTTTGGAACTGAGAGTTCTTTTGCACAGTGCTGTTTTTAATGGCTGTAACTTGTATTCTTTTCCATTGATGTAGAGTTGCTGTGTTAAGCAACCAATATTACTGCTACCCAAAGGCTTTATTAACTTTTTTTTTTCCGCGCTCTTTTTATTGTCTCAACGAACTAAAGTACCCTGCTGGAACGCCAGAAATGTCTCTTGCCATTTCAGAGAGTTCAGCGATCAGCGTCCTAGGATCACCTATTACAGGTGCTCAAGTTGGCTATAAGCACAGTGCTTTTATTGGAAGTTGTAAGCATCAAGTGTGGCAAGCTATAAGAGCATCATCTGCTGCTCCTTACTATCTTGATGATTACTCAGATGGTATTTCCTTCTGTTCTTGAAGTGGAATTCACTTGCTTGTTATTTTTATCTCAATAATAGCTGTTGATTATTAAGTTGACAGTGTTAATCTATTCTGTTATTCTTGACTACTTCCTTCTTTTGTTCTCTTCCCTTTATTCTCTGTAGATGTAAACCGTTGGCAAGATGGTGCAATAGTGGCAAATAATCCTACAATCTTTGCCATAAGAGAAGCACAACTTTTATGGCCCGATACAAGAATTGATTGCCTAGTTTCCATTGGGTGTGGTTCGGTACCAACAAAGGTCAATATTTTCGCTTTCTTGTATTAGTTGGCTCTTGCATTATAAGCTTGGTTGGAGTCTCATAAAAAGCTTCATTATGTTTGTGACCTTTTAAGTTTCTAGTTACTAGTGAGCGGTCATTTTGAAGTCCTCTGGATATGGTTGAGAAAGAGTCACTACTGAAGAATTTTACTAACCTTCAAGTTCTCCCTTCAAGGAAGATTTCGTTGTCTCTTTTTTCTTTTCATGCTTTTGTATCCATGAATCACATTCTTTTACAACTCTCCACTGAAACAATTATTTGTTATAATTTTCTTCCTTATTAGTTTATGACTATCTCTGCTTTGCAGGCACGGAAAGGTGGTTGGCGTTATTTGGATACTGGGCAAGTTTTGATTGAGAGTGCATGCTCAGTGGACCGTGTAGAGGAGGCTTTGAGCACGTTGCTACCTATGCTCCCTGAAATACAGTATTTTCGATTTAATCCAGGTATTTGCTGCTTTAGCGTTGTATACGGTTCACTAGTGTGATGAGGACTTTTTTAATTTTGGATGAAATCTGCACCTTTTCTTTTGTCAATTACATAACATCCTTAACTAGCACCTTCTTTGATGAGCGAATCCATTTTAACCCTACATGTTTGCCTGGGCAGTTGATGAACGGTGTGATATGGAACTAGATGAGACTGACCCAGCAGTCTGGCTGAAGTTGGAAGCTGCAGTTGATGAATACATACAAAATAGCTCTCTTGCCTTTAAAAGTGCTTGTGAGAGACTACTGCTACCTTTTCAACAGGAAGATAAATTATCCGAGACCTTAAGGTCCCAAAATTTCTCCAAGTCAAAGGCAACAAGTACTGGTATTGGCATTTACCGTCTTTGTTTCTCTCTATAGGCTTTTTGCTTGTTTTGATACGTTTTTGCCTTTAAATCTGGTCATTTCTTTGCTGTGTTAAAGGTGAAAAGAGCCCATCTCTAGGTTGGAGGCGTAGTGTCCTGCTTGTTGAAGCTTCACATAGTCCAGATTCTGGACGAGTTTTGCACCATGCTCGTACACTTGAGTCATTTTGTTCAAGGACTGGAATACGGTTATCCCTTATGCAAGGAATAACAGGATTTGTAAAGACAATCCCGGGTACAACATTCCCAACACCATTTGCATCACCTTTGTTTACTGGAAGCTTTCCTTCAAGCCCACTTTTTTACAGCCCCGATATCGGAGCTAATAGGATTGGTCGAATCGATATGGTCCCGCCTTTGAGTTTAGATGGTCAATCTGTAAAGACAGCTGCATCACCACCAAAGTCTCCTTCTGGACCCAGACAACTCTCTTTACCTGTGCAGTCATTGCATGAGAAGTTACAGAACTCTCCACAAGTGGGCATTATTCATTTAGCTCTTCAAAATGACTCGCTTGGTTCAGTATTAAGGTCAACCTGTTCCCTTGTTTTGGGTGTTTTTTCGTTTTTATTTTTTATTTTTTTTATTTTGGTCGTAATTTCCTGACTGCCTAGTTATTTAGTTGGCAGAATGATGTATTTGTGGTTGCTGAACCTGGAGAGCTTGCTGATAAATTTCTACAAAGTGTTAAAAGGAGTTTATTGTCAGTGATGCGGAGCCGCTACAGGAAGGCTGCATCTCTTCTCGCAAATATTTCAACTGTTTCTGATTTGGTTGCAAGTAAACCATACTTTCAAATTGGAGGCATTGTCCACCGATACATAGGACGCCAAACTCAAGTATGCTTTCATGGCTCTCTTATTCCTTTGTTTTTTCATTGATTGGACATCCCGCAACTACAATTTTGTTTCTGATGTTTAATGACAAATTTTCAAGGTCATGGAGGATGATCAAGAAATTGGGGCATACTTGTTTCGTAGAACAGTCCCTTCAATTCACTTAACACCTGAGGATGTTCGTTGGATGGTAGGCTCCTGGTTCTCATGTTACTATCTCTGTTAAAGATCTTTATTTGGTTGTTCGATAGTTTTTTTTTTTTTTTTTCCTTCTTTTCCTTTGGGGCAAACAATAGGAGATCCCACAATCCCATATCCATCAATGACATATGGTATATTCCTCATCTAGAACAGAGTAGGGTTGCCATCTTGGTTATGGGAGATTGTTGGACTTTGTGATTGGTTGAGAAATTGTATATCTTTTTATCCTGAAAAACGTTTGAAATTAAACTAGAATATTTATGCATTCTCCACGTAACAAATTATTTCCAATGATTCATAAAATGGAGATGCCATAGAAAATTCCATTTACTTTAAAGTTATTACTAAAATTCTTTTCATTTCTTCGTGTTAGCATTTAAGACAGAAGTCGTTGGTTGTTTGAGGAGTTTCTTATTGACTATCTAAACTTAGTACATTCTGATTTGGTTAAATGTGGTGATGCTTCGTTTTGAATGACTCTAGGTTGGAGCTTGGAGGGACAGGATCATAATTTGCACAGGGATGTATGGGCTTACCACTGCTTTGATCAAGGCATTTTTAGACTCTGGTGCCAAGGCTGTTATATGTTCCTCAGTTGAGCCCCCGGAAATGGAGCTCACAACATTCCAAGGATCTGGAGAATTCACCGCTTTTGAAAATGGCAAGTTTGAGATTGGTGAGGAAGAGGCTGAAGATGAAGAGCCTGAGCCTGCCAGTCCCGTTAGTGATTGGGAAGATAGTGACCCAGAGAAAAATGGTGACCGCTCTACAGGCATTTGGGACACAGACGAGGAACAAACGTCGCAGTTTGTATGTCAACTTTATGACTCACTGTTCCGGGAAGGGGCGACTGTGGATGCTGCTCTACAACAAGCTCTTGCCTCACATCGGAAGTTGAGGTATTCGTGCCATCTTCCCACTATACAATAGTATATTAGATAATTATCTCGTATAGGAAAATGAAAATGAATACAAAGAGCATAGTGGAGAGAAAGAGAGACGGAGAGGATACTGCATAGGACACAGGTTTGTTAGTGAATTATGAATATCGAGAAAATAAGAGTAACATTCAATTTTGAGGCGTATAAAGAAACTTTGATGTATGTTATTTATAACTTGAATATAGTTATCTCTGACGTTGAATATATGAGGAAACAAATTTTTCCCATTCCCGGTTCACTCTAATACAGACTTTTCTATACAAGTCTTTGGCCTATCATTTTGTTCCTTCATCCTCGTTTAATAGCTTTTATAGAATTATGAGGAAACAAAATCCCAAAAAGGAAATACTATATGCTATATACTATAACATATAAATAATAGTATATAACTATCTATTACATACTACAATACCATACCATGATAATAAAAAGGAGAGTTCTACAAGTTCTCAGCGGTACCCTTGTTTAGCTGGCACGAAAAATTGCGATCCGTGTAATCGTGTGTTGCCTTCTGTTACACATAAAAAAGTATTTCACTATCTCAAATATTATGAATTCGAAAAATACACACAATTTTGAATCGTCATATTTTTATTAAGTTTTATTAAATTATCATATTTTTCTTCATTTTATGTAATATGACTGTTCATTTTTATTTTTATTTTTACTGCTAGAGTTTTTCCTTTTTTTTACTTTAACCATAAAATTTCCTTAGAATAGTGTCTGTCGGCAGATCAAATTAATTTGATCGGGTAAATCAATGTGGAAGATTTTGAATATTCAAATCTTTCCTTATCTACTTCTATTGATTATCCCGGTTTGTTAGGATTAGAGATTTAGTCAATAAAATCTGATGTGATTATTAAAAATCAAATCAGATTCTTATTAGGATATCTTCTTTTATTCGGGTAAGCTAGTTCCTTGGCTGCCTATTTAAATGTATTTCCGCTACAATGAATAATATTGCAGATAACTTTCTTTTCAAGTCTGCTTTCATGGTATCAGAGCCACTCTCTGAACCTTAATACTCTTTGCCAACCGTGATGACAAAATACGGAATGGCCGGCGGGAAAGAAACCTCATCATCAGAGGTTACCTCTGCCTCATCAGGGACTGCTAATCCGATTCAGATCAGCGGATTTGAAGCCCCGCTTCAGCAAATCACGAGTCACAAATTTAATGGACAGAATTTCGTCCAATGGTCATATTCGGTAATGATGTTCATAGAGGGAAAAGGAAAAGAAGACTATCTTACCGGTGATGCTGCACAACCGGATGAGAAAGATCCCAAGTTTAAAACATGGAAAACAGAAAACAGCATGGTTCGGTCATGGCTGATTAACTCCATGAATGCTGAGATGGGAGAAAACTTTATGTATTACAAAATAGCGAAAGAGATGTGGGACGTAGTGAAGAGAGGTTATTTTAACAGGGAGAATACTTCAGAGATTTTCAGGCTCAAAGAAATTCTGAACGATCTTCGCCAAGGAGAACTCAGTGTAACCGAATATTTTCATTCTTTATCACGTCATTGGCAGCAACTTGATATTCTTGACGAAACTACATGGCATTGTGCCGAGGATCATAAGCGGTGCAAGGAAATTCTGGAGAGAGATAGGGTTTACAAGTTCTTACTTGGCCTGAATAAAACCCTAGATGATGTTCGTGGAAGGATCTTAAGCACAAAGCCCCTGCCAGATGTTCGTGTAGTATTTTCAGAAGTGAAGCAAGAAGAGAGCCGAAAGAAATTAATGCTAGGAACCCCCAATGATGCCGTGACTCCAACGTTTAATGATGCTGGAAATTCAACCATGGACACTTCTGCCCTAGCTGCCCGAGGACCACAATCCAACAATGAGAATCAACAAAGAAGAAACCGGCCTTGGTGTGATCATTGCTGGAAATCCGGACATACCAAAGATACTTGCTGGAAAATTCATGGGAAACCAGCAAACTGGATCCCTCGGAAGCAGAATGAAGGAAGAGGTTTTCAAGCCACCCAAGACAAGCATGGAATGGAAGCCTCTACACAACAACAGGCTGCAGAATCATCAATTTCACTGACCAAGGAGCAGCTAGAGCAACTTTATCGTCTTCTCACTCCAACACCTACATCATCTAAGCCAATTCCTAATGTAGGGTTATGCACCACGACACATAATGGTAACCATTCAGCCTTGATCTCATCACTTCATACCCAGGAACCGTGGATCATTGATTCCGGTGCTTCTGACCATATGACAGGTTGTTTCAAACACTTCTCTTCCTACACTCAATGCTCTAGTAATGCTAAAATTAAGATTGCCGATGGGTCTCTAGCTACTATTGCTGGAATAAGTTCAGTACAAATATAAAAAAATCTTATTCTTCATTCTGTCCTACATGTTCCAGGTGCAATTTGCTGTCCATTAGTAAACTCACCCATGACAATAACTGTGTGGCTAATTTTCACTCTTCTATGTGCCAATTTCAGGACCTATCATCGAGGAAGACGATTGGCAGTGCTAGAGCCTATGAGGGACTTTATTTTCTTGACAAATCTGAGAGTCGACAAGCACATGTGTCTGGAGTATCATTTGTTTCGGTTTCCAATGATAAAGAAATAATGTTGTGGCATCATAGACTTGGCCACCCTAGTTTTTCCTATTTAAAGTTTTTGTTACTAGACCTATTCAAGAATAAAAATACTATTTCATTTGCTTGTGATATTTGTCAATTTGCAAAGCATACATGTATACCTTTTTCACCAAAACCATATGCACATTTTATGCCTTTCTCCTTGATTCACAGCGATATATGGGGCCCTTCTAGAGTAACAACCTTGAATGGAAAACGATGGTTCATCACATTTATTGATGACCATACACGGGTAACATGGGTTTATTTGCTTAAGGAAAAATCAGGCACCAACCAAATCTTCCAAACCTTCCACAAAATGGTTCAAACTTAATTTCAGAGAAAGATTTTGGTTTTGAGGACTGATAATGGTGGTGAATATTTTCAGTCCACTTTGGGTAATTATCTTGGCCAGCATGGAATCATTCACCAAAGTTCTTGTACTGAAACACCACAGCAGAATGGAATCTCAGAAAGAAAGAATCGACATTTACTGGTAGTGGCTCGTGCCCTCATGTTCACTATGAATGTACCCAAATATCTGTGGGGTGATGCCATTTTAACCGCAACATTTCTCATCAATAGATTACCAAGCTGCCCTCTCAAGTTTCAAACCCCATTATCCGTTCTTACAACCCAAGTTCCACACTTCAATATCCTCACAAATAACCTCCCTCTAAAAACCTTTGGTTGTACCGCATTTGTCCATGTCCATTCCCAACATCGTTCCAAACTTGAACCCCGAGCCATAAAAACCATCTTCCTTGGAGATTCTCCAACAAAAAAGGGGTATCGTTGTTTTTGCCCCCAAACAAAAAAATCTTTTGTTACCCGAGATGTTACCTTCTTTGAAGAGGTCCCTTATTATCCCCACACTTCGCTTCAGGGGGAGAGTAATGATAAAGAAGCTTATGTGTGGGAATGGGATGTTACATCCATAGTCCCAGCCACAGTTGAAGAAACTCCACCATTATCTTTGGCCCCACATTCAGCCCCGATTGTCGAGACTCCAGTTTCAGCCCAAACTGAAGTTGAAGCTCCTCAGCCACTACAGTCATCCCAGCCGTGTTTACAGCCACTCCAGCAGTCACAACCACAGCCGAAATTGCAAGTCTACTCTCGGAGGAAGAACTTTCAAGAAAATAAACAACTCATAGGCACGGTGGACTGCCCTGAATCCGAACCTATGGTGGGTTCTAATCCTTCACCCCCAGGTAATCCCGAAACCCTCCTTGATAGACTAGATGATCCTATTGCTCTAAGGAAAGGTGTTAGGACATGTACAAAACATCCGATTTCCAAATTTGTGTCATATGATAACCTATCACCCTCGTTTCGTGCGTTCACAACAAATCTTTCTAGAATTGATATTCCCAGGACGATTGACGAAGCTCTAGCTGTCACAGAATGGAAGAATGCGGTCCTAGAAGAGATGCGTGCCCTTGAGAAGAACAATACTTGGAGCTTGGTAGAACTACCGCAAGACAAGAGAGTAGTGGGATGTAAGTGGGTGTTCACAGTGAAAGTAAAGCCCGATGGTTCAGTAGAGCGGTACAAAGCCCGATTGGTAGCAAAAGGCTTCACACAAACCTACGGGATAGACTACACAGAGACGTTTGCTCCAGTTGCGAAGCTCAACACTGTCCAGGTTCGCTTATCTTTAGCAGCAAATATGGATTGGCCTCTTTATCAACTTGATGTAAAGAATGCTTTTCTGAATGGAGAGCTAGAAGAAGAAGTATATATGAGTCTTCCACCCGGTTTCTATAAGAGCAAATGGGACAATACAGTGTGTAAGTTGAATAAGTCTCTATATGGTTTAAAACAGTCACTGAGGGCGTGGTTTGAAAGATTCTCTAAAGTAATCAAAGGTCATGGGTACGTACAAGGACAATCAGATCACACTCTCTTTGTCAAACACTCTACAAACAGCAAGGTTACGATTTTGATTGTGTATGTGGACGACATAATTTTGACTGGGGATGACTTTCAAGAGACATAGGAGATTAAGAAGATTATGGCAAGGGAATTCGAGATCAAGGACCTAGGATTCATGAAATATTTCCTAGGAATGGAGGTTGTAAGAAGTAAAAATGGGATCTCCATATCACAAAGAAAGTACACGATGGATTTATTAGAAGAGACAGGAATGCTCAGTTGCAAGCCTGTAGACACCCCTATTGAACCGAGAGGGAGGAGGAATGAAGGTGATGGAAATCAGGTGGACACGAGTAGATATCAGAGGCTTGTGGGAAGACTGATCTATCTCTCACACACTAGACCGGACATAGCATTTGCGGTCAGTGTGGTAAGCCAATACATGCATTCACCACACCAAAAACACCTTGATATAGTCTATCGAATATTAAGGTATCTCAAGAAGAATCTAGGGAGAGGACTATTCTTCCGGAAGAACGAGGATAGGAAAGTAAAAATCTACACGGATGCAGATTGGGCAGGCTCTGAAGAAGATAGGAGGTCAACATCAGGGTATTGTACTCAGCTTTGGGGAAACCTATTGACTTGGCGTAGCAAGAAACAGGCAGTAGTTGCAAGAAGCAGTGCTGAGGCTGAATATAGAGCTATGGCTCAAGGCATTTGTGAGGCAATATGGATAAAACGACTACTGGGAGAATTAAGAATTGATGGTGAGTTTCCTATGCAGCTCTATTGCGATAATAAGGCTACGATTAGCATAGCACATAACCCAGTTCATCATGACAGAACTAAACATGTGGAGGTGGATAGGCATTTTATTACAGAAAAGATCGAGAGTGGAATAATAAGTGTTGGATACATCCCTACAAAGCAACAAGGAGCAAATATTCTAACTAAAGGACTGCACAGACCAGCATTTGAAGAATTAGTAAGCAAGCTCGGACTCATAGACATTTATGTCCAAGCTTGAGGGGGAGTGTCGGCAGATCAAATTAATTTGATCGGGTAAATCAATGTGGAAGATTTTGAATATTCAAATCTTTCCTTATCTACTTCTATTGATTATCCCGGTTTGTTAGGATTAGAGATTTAGTCAATAAAATCTGACGTGATTATTAAAAATCAAATCAGATTCTTATTAGGATATCTTCTTTTATTCGGATAAGCTAGTTCCTTGGCTGCCTATTTAAATGTATTTCCGCTACAATGAATAATATTGCAGATAACTTTCTTCTCAAGTCTGCTTTCAGTGTCATCGTCCCAGTAGAATCTACAATGGGACGGTGACTTATTTTAGAATAATAGACTACTGTTGAGGCAACACTCGTTGAACGGTGGAGAACAGTTAAAAACATCAATATCTAGTTTGTTGAACCGTCTACTCCTCTTATTTCCTTAAGGCGGCTTCCATAGACTAATGTGTTAAACTGATTTATCACCTTAGTATTAGTATATTTTCTACTTTTGGTAATGACTAAACCGATTGAGATAAAACTGAACTACCATGAGATCAATCATCCTTCACCTTAGTATTAGTATATTTTCTACTTTTGGTAATGACTAAACCGATTGAGATAAAACTGAACTACCATGAGATCAATCATCCTTCTAAAGGTACCAGAAAATGGGAAGGGATAACATGATGAGAGAAAGCTCAAAAGCCATTTATTCTTTTCTGCTATTCGACAAAATCTAAGATAGTCATCCTTTTTAATCATTGTCGAGATAAGTATAGAGGTTTTCACATATAATTTGAAAAAAAAAAAAAACAAAACAAAACGTGTGCAACGAATATAAAAAATCCCATCATATGATTACACAATTCGTTTATATATACATATATGGCCAATGGTTATGTTTTTATTAGTGGTTACTAATTTATATATAAATTTAATAATAATATGTGATAAGAATCTAATTTTATTAATTTTTATAGATTTTTTTAGTCAATTATTTAAGTTTAATATCACATGGTTAAAATAACAATACCCACCGTTAGATGAATATTAGAGTAACTATTGAAACCATACTCATATGTGTGGACAAGTTTTCAAACGTTTTCATAGTGGTTAACTATCAAATATAAAAATTTAATGATATGGTGTGATAATAATTCAATTTTTTTAGTTGTCATAAATTTCTTTGATCAACTACCTAACTTACTATAACCATCATATTTGGTTATATTAATATTGTTAAAATAATGATACCCGTGGGCAAATTTTACATTTTGTATGTATTACCTTTTGTTCGAGTTATCCCAGGAACTGGAAGACCATCCAATTCTGTTTGGAATGTAATGATAGGATTAACTGAGCCAAGCTTTGATGTTTGGAGCGTCATTTTAGGGAAACATTTTCTGTTAACTAAACTGACACTCCATGTGTTTCAGTTCTGTAATTCAGGCCAAATATAGCGCGTGTTAGTGTAAAAAAATAAAAAAGATGGGAAAAGTCAAAGTTGAACAAACAGATTCCATGATGGTTTTCAGTTTCTTTTTTGTTTTCTTTTGAATGGATTCTATTGTTGATTTTTTACCTTTAAATGTCAAGTTTAAAACTAAGGTGCCATTCTTGTTTAAATATCTTGGTGAATGCCGATGAATTCAAATACCTTTCAAATCCTAGTGAGTAAAAAGACGCACACATGGAAATTAATAGTTCGTCTTGTGAATATTACGTGGGAGTATTTTATTGTATTACCGAATGAAGAAAATGATTTACTACATTAGCACCGACGCTGATTTGATTATAGCAAGCATGAGCTCAACATTATGTCCTGAAAAAGCGGTAATTACTCCTTCAAAGTTGAATTATTCCACTCCCAACATGAAACAGAACTAGACAACAACAAAAGCAGATAAAGGAAATTGAGATTTGAAAAACACCAAGGACCCCAAACGTAAAAAGCACTCAAGCGGGATAAAGCACAAGTTTTAACCTTAAAAAAGGAGATTATGACTAATTAGAAAAAGGATAAAAAGCTTGTGGATTTTGAAATTCGTTCTTAACTTTTACATCTATAAATGTTTAAGAAACCCCTTTTCAACCCCACCATGATCATGATGCGGAATCCACTGCCTTAAGTGAGGAAAAGGAACAATCAACGGTGCCATAGTAGTAGTCATTAGTCAAAAGGGTCTAAAATTTGTCCCCAAAATATGCATGCTCTTTAATTGTGAAACACTAGAATAATAATATGATTGCCCATGGGTCATCCCTAAGCAAAGCACCAATTATGCAGAAACTCATGCTCGCCACCTTTAAAAAAATAAATTAATTAATCAATTAAATTAAGAGCTTTAGGAAAAAAAACATAGATGGACGCTTTCATGTCCAAAGCAATCCTCCGCTCGAGGAAAAAGACCTTGGACCACCACTTTCTTCACCTTGAAGCCTCCTACGTCATTTTCAATTACAAGCCTTTAGAAAAAGAAAAGAAAAAGAGGCGGAAAAAAAAAAAAAAAGGATTCAGTGTTATAAAACAAGACCTCATCAACAACCACCAAAATCCCTGAAAAAAATGAATTCAACTGCTCCTATTGCAATAGGCACGCGAGGCACAGTGGGGGCTCTGGTGAGGAAAGAAATTGAGTATTTCAGCAAGCTTCAGCTAGACCGCCATGGAAGCTCGAGAAAGCCTAGGGGATCAGTACATGTTCATCAAGCTGCTTGGCCTAGTTTGAGGTTCTTGGTCACTCCATGGAAAAGGAAGAAGCATAGATCATGCACAAGGAGTTTCCTTCCGAGCATGTGCTCCGTCGCCGAAGTCGTGGAGAGAAATCAGCTAAGTGGGATTCCTGGTTTCAGTTACAGGGTTCTCAGCAATGATATGAATTCGAACTTGGACGTTTAGATGGCTCCATGTTTCATGCTTTCGTTGTTTATTATGCCAGTTTTTCACAATGGTAGCAACATCGTCTCATGTGATCATTCAGTATTAATAACTGTTTCATCAGTCTCTCTTTTCAGGTTTTTCTTATCTCATGAAAAGCTGCTAATAGAGATTTATGATTCATTTGGCAGCCAGTTAAAGATTTTGCCTTGTGATCAAGATTTTTTTCTTATTCCATTAATTTGCTGTAAAAAATCGCGTTCTGTATGGTCTTCACAGCTTTGAGAGTGCTTTGCATCTTCATAAGTTTCGAGAACAAAAAAATGCCTTACGATCCCACATCGGAAATGGTTGAATGTAGTAGCTTTGCTTTGGGTACAAGGCTATGCATGAACTTGTGTTGTGTACGAAAACGTGATATTACACCTCATTTTTGTAAAATACTTGCTTCTATCAAGAAAAAAAATGTTGTAAATTTATGAGTGAAAAATAGGCCAACAGGTTTCAAAGATGAATTAGTTATTGATCAGAATAAAACACAATTGTGGTTGGTGATATGAACACCAGATTGGGTAAACAAACTAAATACGTCTAAAACAATAGTCGATAAAAGCTTATTACAACGACAAGAAATCGACTTTTTATGTAGCCAATTCATAAAGAGTTATATCAGTTGCTCTAAACCTATTTCTTATAAGCTTATTACCAATGACTAGAAATCGACGTTTTATGTAGCCCAATTCATAAAGTGTTCTATCAGTTGCTCTAAACTTATTTCTTATATTTTTATGATTGTTCGGTGATGGTATTAAGTTTTTTTGTCATATCATGTTGTGATAAAATTGCAAAACAAAAAGTTGTCTCGAATGGCTATTGTGTCCTCAGCTCGTTGTATATCAGTTGCTTAGCTCACTTATTCTTTTGCAAATTTGCTTGGGACTTCAAGAGAAAAATAACAAAAATATCAATACATATTAAATTAAATATTATAAACATGTGTCTAATGCAAATTCCCAAAGAATAAACAATTACTATGAGAACCAATTAATTTAGTGGTGTGACCTTTTAAATTTTATAAATTTCTTCTGAACCTTGTCATTTGTGTCAAATATACTCTTTAAATCTTAAAATGTACATGTTATGCCATTCGAACTATGACATGTCTCTAACTTCCCCTTTATGCCTGTTTCATCAAGTTTTCTAATAAAAATGCTTATAAAATCCCCCTGAACTTTGTCACTTGTGTCAACATGCCCCTAATCTTTTAAATGTACCTATTGTGTCCCTCGAATTATGAAATGTCTCTAACTTTTTTCCTCCATCTTGATTCTATCAATTTTTTGAACAAAACTGTTGATATGATCATTAAATCACTGATTAGGCATGATAATTAGAGTTTAGTGATGAATGTATTTCCCTCTAAAAATATTAGTTAGACACCAATTCTCAAAATATTTGTTGGTTAAGGTAATAAAGAGGCAAAAAATGAGGAACAAATTTATATAAATTAATGGGTTTGTTAATTTTTTAGATTTTTTTTTCCTTTTTCGTTGGAATAAGTTCATTAAATTAATAGGTTTCTTAATGTAAAGGATAGGCTCTTCCTTGAATTTTGTTTTACATGCTTTTTTTATGGTGAATATTTTTTCTTTTAAGTTTTGTTATGGTAATGTGTTTCTTAAGGATTGTGTTGAATTCTCTCAACCAAAAAAAAAAAAGAAGAAAAACACAATGATGCGAACGTATTTAGATTTAGAGATGTTATGTTTGTATAAAGCATATGTCGTATGTCAAGCACTTCTATCTCAGTTATTAAGTTAAGAAAAAAAAACTAAAAAACTAACAAAACCTATTTGCTCTTCATTTTTTTCATTTCTTTATTACCTCTAACTAACTAATGTGTTGAGAATTATGTGCCTAAATAATATTTTTTTGGGAAGGGCATTCAAAAAACCCTAAATATCATAGCTAATTAGCGATTTAATGGCCATATTAACATTTCTGTTTAAAAAATGACATAATCAAGATGGAAAGGGAAAAGTAAGAGACATATCACAGTTTGAGGGGCACAACTGGTACATTTTAAAGTTTATGCATGTTTACACAAGTGATAAAGTTTAGGGGGAATTTATAAGCATTTTTGTAATAAAAAAAACTTGATAGAATCAGATGGAGGGGGAAAGTTTGAGAGTTCATAATTCGGGAGGCATAACATGTACATTCTAAAGTTTAGAGGGCAAGTTGACACAAGTGACAAAATTCAGAGGAAATTTATAAAATTTATCATTTTAGTTTTTATAGTGACTTCCACGAACATAAACACTAGGAACAAAAAAATAAAAAGACGTCGAGCGATCAATATAAACTAATGGCATGTTTACGTATGCGTAACCGGAATGATCATGAATTAGAGTGTGCATGATTCAGAATGAAGAGCCGGAGTCAAAATAAGTTGTTTACTTGATGACAGGATTCGGAATCAGAGTCACTCCAAATTCTATTTATATGTTTACTTACACCCAGAATCGTAATAAACTGGTGTAAAAGTACTAATATACTCTTTAAATAAATTCTTTATTTTTAATTTAAAAAATAATTTGTGTAGTTATTATATTAATATTAATCATAATTAAAATATTTATTATAATAATAGGGTGTGAAATGAGAAATATAAATTACAAAATAATTTAAAATATGAAAATAAATTGTCAAAATTTGAATAAAATAAAAAATAAAGTGTGTTAAAAATTAAAATATATTATCAGTTTTAATAAAAATAATAAAGTGCATATTTATTACAGTAAAGTTAAAAATGATTAGACTAATATTATAATTTTAGGCAAATAAAATAGCAAATACAGGTTGTCATTATTATTTTTTAAATTTTATTTTTCATTTTATATTTTTTAAGTAAATTAGGGGTAAGACAATAATTTAATGTTAATATTAAGAATATGAGTCTTAATTTAGAGGGGGCATGAGATTGCCAATCTCTTTACTCAATTTCAAAATTAAGTGGGTCTACTAACGTCACTCCCATTTCAAAATAAAAAATAACAAATAAATATAAAATCGACTCTTATTGCCTACTCTCATTCTACAGTCCTAATAAGCAAACATGCTATAAAGCTATAGTTCAGTTCCACTAATATTGAGCAATTAGGTCATAAATCTACAAGTCGGTCATGAGGAAGTGACTAATTTCAATATTTTTTTATGCAATAGAATGTTTCTAGCTTGCTATTAATGATACTTTGCCACCCTCTCTGTAGCAGTGATTTGAATTGGCCATTACTATCTTCTGATTTATACAAGACAAATTAAAGCGGTTAAAAATCACTGCCTAAGGTTCAATGTCAGCTTCGTCTTGAAGATGACAATCTTTCTTTAATTTCCAGTCTAAAACCTGATTACGCCGGCAAAATTAATATAAAAAAAAAGAGCAAATAAAAGTCGTTGAAACAATTGGAATTAAGGAAACTGAAACCATTTTCATATCGCCAATGACACAATTTCCCGCCCAGCACATTTTTTTCCTTCTGATTTATACTAATTGTTCAAATTAATTTTTTTTTTTTTTCCACAATCAAACATATACAATTTTTATCTTGTAGTTGTGCCTATTTCGGAAGAGGTTTTCTTTTGTTTTCTCTCATCTTCTAGTCGTTTGACTTTTCCATTATCTTCACTTGTTCTTTTAGAGTATGTTTGGAAGGAAAGAAAAGTAGAAGAAAAAAAGAAGGTGGAGGGATTTTGGGAGGGAAAATGAAAATGTAGGTTGTTTGGTAGGAGAGAAAAAAAAAAGAGAAAATGGAATGGAAAATAATACATGTGGGCCTCACCATTTTTTTTTTCTTTCCACAAGTGGGCAGAAAATGGGATGAAAAATGGGGGTAACTCATTAAAGTGAGCAAAGTTACTAAACTACCATTTTCTCTATCAACATTCAAGCAAAAAATTTAAGGGTATAAAAGTAATTTACGAGTAAGATTTTTTCTTTCCTTTCAATTTAACTTCTAATACCAAACAAGTGAAAGTAAGCTCATTTTCTTTCCATCTTCTCATACTAAACAACATAAAAAAAAATCAATTTTCTTTCTATCATTACTATTTTCCATCACTTTCATATTTTCTTTCTATCATATTTTCTTTCCTTCCTACCAAACATAGCATTAATGTTCGTCGTTTGTAAACTTATCGTGGTTTCTTGAATTTTTTTTATTGTTTTACTACTTTTATTTATGGTCGTCGTATTCTATTCCTAATTTACATTGTTGTCTTTCAACTTACCGCTCTCTTTTATTTGTCGTTTCTTTCTTCTTCTTTTTTTGGTCGTAAGCTTATCGTCGTTTTTTAATTTCAGTTCGTCTACATTTCATCTTTATGTCGTTTTTCAACTTATCGTCTTTCTCTTTGTTGTCGTTGATGGACCTATCCTTGTTTCTTTTATTGTCGTTTGTGGAACTCTCGTCGTTTACTTCTATTGTTGCTTGTCGAATTTGTCGTCGTTTCACTTTTCATCGTTTTACTAAATTCGTTCCATTTTATAGTCGTTTGTCGACTCATTAGGCCTTTTTTTTTTGTTAATCTTCGTCGTTTATCTTTTATTGTCGCCGGTCAATTCATTATCGTTTCTTTTCATCTTTCTCACTAAATTCAACTTCTCATCATGGTGAGTTGTGAAAAGAACAATCCATGATCATCCTCGTTTCCTTTTATCGTCGTCTGTCAACTTATCGTCGTTTCTGTCTTCATTGGTTTATTTGTCGATTCTTGTCGTGTCTCGTGTCTTTTTCCTTGTCGTTTCATGTTTATTCTCACTTGTCAACTCATCCAAGTGTGAGCAAGTAAAGCCTAACACGTGCTCAACCTTGTACACGTGTCAACTTGTCTCGCATGGCCCTAAACCTCTGCAAAACAAAAATGTCGTCCTCCTCTTTTCTTCTTCTCGTTGATCGCCGGAGAATTCTTCAGACTAATGGCGATCTACAGATCACTGAAAGCTCTGATCAGAAACCCTAGAAATTCCAGAACTTTCCTCACGGCCACAACCTGCTCGATCTCGGCTCCATCGTACGCGCCACCACTCGCCCATCCCCTCGCTCACCCGCACTTTCGCTTGTCTTCTCAGTCGTCCAGATTCCTTTCTCCTTTATCCAATTGGATCATCCCTTTCCATGGCCCACTCTTCCTCTCCTGTCCGCCATGGAAGCTCTCGCAGTCCGCGACGCCGCTCTACCTCCGCGGAAACGGCGTCGTCCGGCGGAGAATCGAGGCGTTGAATTTGCATCTGCTTCACAGAAGAACCAGTTTCCCGCTCAAATTGGAGTTCGTGTCGGTGTCTCCCAACCTGGCCGCGACGGATGGCGTCGATTCGAAGCGGTGGAGCGTCGATTTTGTGGAGAGCTTCGTGAATTTGCCGAACATGGTCTCAATGAGTCGCTTAATCTCCGGTCCTGTTCTTGGATGGTAAATACTTCGTTTTTTCAGTAACAAGATTGAGTTTTTGCATTAATGTGGGTTTTTCAGAAGCGTAATTGACAAAATTATGCAGGATGATTATGAATGAGAGATATTCTGCTGCCATGGTTGGGTTAGCTGTTTCCGGGGCAACTGACTGGGTATGGATCCCATGTAAACTCCTATTTCATGAACAGAATATGGACAGAAACAAAGATTTTGATATTCGCTGATTGCAATTTGTGTACTGTAGCTAGACGGGTACTTGGCCAGGAAGATGGGAATTAATTCTGTGGTTGGTTCTTATCTTGATCCATTGGCTGATAAGGTAAGTCATAAAGCTTTTTTTCTTCTCTCTCTTTGCCAAGCTTAGTATTAGAATTGGGTTTTATAAGCCAAGTGCTTTGATATATGTTTTAAGAGTTTGTCGTCTCTTATATAATACAGGTTCTTATTGGATGTGTTGCTTTGGCAATGGTGCAAAAGGATCTTCTTCATCGTAAGTTGTCCAATAAGCTTACTCGTATGTTCATTATGTTTCCTATCTTGATTGTCAAAAAACTGACTTATTATTTTTGAGCTTTGAAGCTGGACTTGTTGGACTTGTTGTGTTCCGAGATGTTGCACTTATAGGTGGTGCTGTATATCAAAGAGCTAGTAGCTTGGGCTGGGAGGTGAATTTGCAAGACTCAAGCTTTGGTTAAATCATTGTTTAGCTTTGAAAAACTCAAGTCAGTATGGCTAATGTTTGGATTTTCTTTGTTGAATTATTGTCAGTGGAAAAGTTGGTCCGATTTTTTCAACTTTGATGGGACCCGTCCCCAGAAGGTCGAGCCACTCTTCATTAGCAAGGTGAGCTTTGTTGTTTCCTATCTTCTCTTATGTATAATGCCACCTTGAAAATTCTTTGAAATGTTACTTTGAACCGGTAGTACTGTCCCCGGAGCTAATGTAATCTCGTAAGCTTGTGATACCCTGTTTGTTATTTGGCTTCTGGAGATGTAAACTTAGAACAGAAACCGAAAAGTGGAAGAATGAATACTGTATAGTTTAGTCGCATAGCTTGGATTAGTTTGAAACTAGTGGGAGGTTTGTGATTATTGTTTGATAACTGACGAAAAGCAACTGTTTGACAGCTCAACACGGTCTTCCAGTTAATTTTAGTCGCTGGCGCTCTTTTGCAACCAGAGTTTGGAACGCCAGAAACTCAGTTATACATTACATATTTGAGGTGACTTGGCCACGACTTGCTTCTTTCTGTTTCAAACTTCTTTAATATATTTGTATGATGAGCCCATTATTTTCCTTGTATTTGTTCAGTTGGTTGGTGGCTTCAACAACCGTGGCGTCAACTGCAGCATATGGAGCACAATACATGAGGCAAAGATCAGCACTGATGGCGGGGAAATCTTAGTCAAATCTTCAGTGCAGGAACTCTTTAGATGGTGACCACTATTTGAGTTTGAGCTGCAATGTGGGCAATAAAAACGTTCAAGAACAAGCAATGGTATCTTACTTCTTTACACTTTGGACTCTGGAGCAGGAAAAGTGAGCTGGTGACCAGTTCTCTTGCATAGATTTCTGGAATTATGTCCTGAGGACTGAGATCACATGCTTTCGATATGAGAAAGTTGTTCGGCGCGTTAACTTAGCGAGGCTGTGGCGCTGCCTCGAAGAAAAATATCCAATTCAATGGAGATATCTGAGCTTGTAAAGAATTAGAAATCTCTGAACGGGAAAGTTGATAATAAATGTATCCCACCATGTAATAAAGATATCCGAGTTTGTAAAGAATTGTGCAGATTTTGATATTTCCATCCCAATGTACTGCAGCAGCTTATGCAGATTTTGATTCTTTTCAAGAGTTGCCCCATTTATATGTACTGTAGTAGCTTATTGAGATTTTGATTCTTTTGGAGTTGTCCATCTCTAATGTACTGCAGCTTTCAGCGTTACACAACTAGTATGTATTACCTAGTACGACCTTGGAATGCTGATTAATTTGATAACAAAGGTTTGAATTTCTCAATGTGGTAGTGTAAGTCAATTTGATCTTCAAAGTTCAAGCTCAAAAAAGTAAAGAGAAACAAAAAAATAAGATCCTCACAACACGTTTCTGCGGCCAAGAACAGGAAAAGACATGCCGTGAAAAGGAAATCGTGCACAAATAGGTCCCAGTCTCCAAGAGGCCGAGAGGTGATAAAAGCCTGAAACATCAAGCGGATAGACTAGCAGCTTACTGCTGGAAAGCCAAGGCTTAAGCTAACTGACTCGAGTAACTTGACTACTATATAACGAAGTTTATTTCTCACATTTGACATTCAATTGAACATACTGTTATCGGTGCTAGATAGTTATTGTATAATGTATTCATCAGTCAGACCAACCACAAAAAAACGACTTAAGAAACGTGATAAGAAAGAACAGGAACCGAGGGAGCACAACAGGAAAATTTGAAACAAAAATATGATCCAAGTTTCAATAAATATGATCTTGTTATTCGGTTTGGTTACATGATGGCAGAAAGCAACCAAATATCTAAGAGGAAAATCGAATGGACTCCAAATTTTCATCTCAATGCATTTTCACTTTTGTGAAAAGAAGCAAATGCAATACAAAGAAATTCCTCACTCCTCAGGCAAGCATTATAACAAAAGCGTTGTCTTGATTCAGTAACAGGTGCTCATCATCAACTCACCGAGGAAAATCTAATCCTGTTCTCTACCTCTGATAAAATAGCTCATTCATCAATGTAAATATATCCCCTTGGTCAAAGTTTCATCTAACTACTGGAAGCATAACCAAAACAATTCTTACTGAGGCAAGCCAGCTTCAATCTCGTTCCACATATCTACATTTACTGTAAACTTCTCCTTGACCTGGGAAATAAGCTCTCGTGCCTCAGTTACTCTAGAAGCACTTACAAGCCCCTCAACAAGCGATTTCATCGTCGAAAAATTTGGAACCCAATTCTTCGCAATGCTCTCCTTGCAAATCTCCAAAGCAGCGTCGAAATCCTTGCCTTGGCACATAAAGTAAACCAGAGTAAAATAGCAGTTACTTTCAGGTTTGCAACCTCTATAAACCATCTCCTTAAACAGCTTCTTGGCCTCCTCCAATTTCCCTTCTTTGCAATACCCATAAATCAAATGGTTAAAGCTCACTGAATTGGGCTTCATACCTCTCGAGATCATGCTATCCAACAAAGCCTTGGCCTCCGAAGTCCTCTTTCGTTTACACAAACTCTGAATCCTAATGTTGTATGTGCTAAGCCCTTGACGAACCCCATACTTCTTCATCAAATTGATCACCTTCCCTACATCCTCGAACTTCTCCTCCGAGGAGAACCCAGGCAGCATGTTACCGAAAGTGGTCGAATTCGGCTTCACGCCTTTCCGGTCCATCTCCCCCAACACCGAGTACGCGGCGCTGGTCGAACCCGACTCCGCAAACGCCCGGATCACCCAATTATAGGTGTCCACATCGGGCTCGATCCCGTAAATCTTCGGGAACTCAACGAAGACGTGGTTGGCCTCCTTGTAGTTCTTGGCGAGGATGCAAGCAAAGATCAACGAATTGAGAACCCTAACGGAGCGAGCGACGCCGAGCTCGTCGCACTGCTTGAATGAGCGGACGGCGCAGTCGATCATCTTGGCCTGGCCGTAGAGAACGATGACGTGGGAGACGAAACGCTCCGTCTTGAGATCGGCGCGGGTCTTGAGGTCATCGAGGAATTGGCGAATGGCGTCGAAGTGGTTGGAGTCGGCGAGCTTGGAGACGGCGACGGAGAGGGTGATACGGTCGAGGTAGGTCTCCGGGGTGAGGGAGGCGGCCTTGCAGAGCTCGACGATGCGGCTAGGGTTTTTCTCGGTCTTGATTAGGGCCAGGGCTGCTCTGGTTTTTTCCTTTGCGGAGAGGGGTTTGGAGTCCGGCGAGAGGAGGGTGGAGAATCGGCAGTGGGAGAGGGAGGCTTGGCGGAGGCGGGAGATCAGAGACATTGTTGGTGAGCGGTGACGAGAAATGGGGGAGGAAGATTTGGGAAGCTAGGGTTTTGCAGGAGGAGATTTGGGGATGGAGGAGGAAAAGATTGACTTGGGGGGGTGTTAGGGTGGGTTTTTGTTATGTGTATTAGTCACGGGTGGATTCGCTGTGGCTGCGGAGGAAATAGTGACATCTGTCGAAATAAGTTAACAAGGATCGTTGTGGACCCACAAATGTAGAAAATAGAAGGGAAAAAAATGTGATACGTTGGGAAAGGGAATTGAACCCGACGTGAATCGAACACGCAACCTTCTGATCTGGAGTCAGACGCGCTACCATTGCGCCACGGATCCTTCTTAGTTAGTAGTTATATATATAATATAAATTATGGTATTTACACTTAAACCGCTTTTTGGGTACATCGTAGAAAAGGCCCAGACGCAATATCAGGCTTCACGTTCACAAGCTGAAGCATTGTCTTGCAGATTATTCGCATAAATACTTATCACAAAGGTTTAGGGTATGTTTATTTTACAATTGAAGTTATAATTTGAGTTGTATATGTATGTGTGAGAAAAAAAAATTATAATAAAAAAATTAAATTTAAATCTTATATAAAAAAAAAAATACTGTAGTAATAAAATTTGAGTTGTGATTAAATGAATAAGTCCCTAATTCTTTTTTTTTTAATAATTAAGGCTTAATTCATTTTTGTGCCTCTTCATTGCACTAGAAGATTTATGCCAACAGATACCATCTTTCCTCCTCTCTTTTACAATTATTGGTGTGTCTCAGTGATGTAATAGTGAAGTGTTAAAGATCAGTTTAATTATTTTTTTCTTTTTCATAAGCGAATGTAGGATCTAAGATGGTTGGAAATGGATAATAACCAAAATATGTTGAGATGTACAAACGGATTATGGATATATATACGACGGTGACGAGTGTGAATTATCCTCCTTTTCTACCTTGCTTTTCTTTTTATTAGCAAAAACAAAACGTAACACAATGTAAATAAAAAATGTTATATATATACACACACACTAAAATGTAAATATGTTGCCCACGCCAAACACCACCAGACCGTCCACCCAACGTCATCAAGGAAGAAACTTCTGGTAGACTTCAATTATAAATATGATTTTAATCATCATGTTCATAAATCCTAAAAATCATCATGTCAAATTATCAAAAAAAAAAAATTAAGAAAGCGAACATGAATTCATAATAACAACAATCGACGCTTTTACGGAATTACTACGACGATTGACAAATCGGTTATTGTCTTTTTCAGTCAAATCACTAGAGTTTCTTAGGGTTTGTTTAGTTCGCTGATTTGAATTTTTAATTCAAGTTGAGATGTGACTTTATGTAATAGCTTTTTACTGTAGCAAAAAAGTTAGATGTAACTGTTTCTAAGAGCTTTTTACAGTAGCAAAACTCAAATTCTAAACTCGAATCGGTGAAATGAATGGAGCCTTAATAGGGTGTTTCTCTCTAGATGGAGAAAAAGAAAAAGCGACCGAATGATTTGACGTATTGAGAACCATAACTTAAAAGTCTTCATATACTTATCTAATAGACTCTCATTAAACCTGATTGAATAAGCATTGGGTATTCACTCATTTATCTCATATCCAATTAGAAGTCTTATTGGGCTCCCCTAATTAGACCACTTAATTAGTCTGTTATAATTAAATAACCAAATATAATTGTTAATTAAATATGTGGCCCACATTAGATAATAAGAAATATAATTTCCTAACAATCTCTCACTTGAGCTACATATGATTCCTGAAACAATGATATCATATGTTCCTTAAGTGCACTTTCTATATGCTATTTATCCTTGGACTTCACCTTAGTTACAATCTGGTCCATCTCCTACATCAGTATGAAATCATGGCAGCTTTCGTCACACTCAAGCGTAACTAAACCTTCCATGGTCATCATATCAACATATTCAATGACATAGATCAAGTATGAATAAATGGCATGGAAATTGCATGCAATGTGATCTCAAACATGCCTATTTCCAGCTGGTCCTACTTTAGTCTTTAGTGAGATCAATCTGAAACTTTCTAAACTTAGTGCAAAACCGCAAATAGAAAGCAAATAAGTACAGAAATAAACCTAATCCATCTTCTTTATTTCGCGAAAACAAACATAAAATTATGTCTTAACAAAAAGAACATCAAAATACAAACTCCCACTAAAATTGCACATCTTCAAATAAAACAACACCCATATGAGCAGTATGCTCGTGAAAGGCCTTGGGCGGTACACCTTTGGTTAGCAGATCCGCAATCATGGAGTTTGTCCTAACATGTTCTATAAACACTTGAAAACTCTGAACAAGTAACTCGATGTCTATGTGCTTCGACTTCAAAGAGCTTTTGTTGTTATTGAAATATAGCAAGCCCAAATTATTGTCACAAATATCTTTAGCGGCCTTTCAAAACCATTTACCACACATAGCCCAGCCCAGTGAAAAGATTCCCAACCATATTTCATGATTAGATGCTTCCTGACAAACTATGAACTCTGTTGCCGCAATAGAAAAAGTTATGAATGTCTGTTTAACACTC